TTTTGTAAAATCTTTTTTGGTTTTTTTTTTTTTTTTTGCTTCCGTTTCCAGAGACGCAACAGGTAGTGAGAGGAAATCTCAACAAATAGAGGAATTCCCCTCCTAGACTGTTGCCACCAGAACAAGTGTCCCCATTAGAAGATTTACCCACACCGCATTCTGTAACGACTCAAATTTTTACCAGGACAAATAAAGACTGTAAAGATTCACACCAAAGAGCTAGGCAGCAATAAAAATGTGTTCTAATCCTTTCCTACTGTATTAATAAAAAATAGTATTATTAACATATACACTGAGTGGCCAGATTATTATGGTTTGTAGGCAAATTAGCTCTAATTTCACGCTGAAGTTACTAGAGGGAAGCAGGTTGTTTACCACGACAGTAGAAGTGATTTTTTTCTGAAGATATGGTCACTCAATATGGCCGCCGCTTGAGTAGGGCAACTCAGAATAATAACGTGCTGGATTAGTGTGATCCTAGTTCATTTTATTACTTCATTGCTGTGCTGTATGTCTATAGGCCAATGCCTTGGCTGGCGCTCGTGCAGAAAGTTTCTTGGGCAAACTCACTGGCCCAAGAACGTTCAGGAAGCGACATCGAATATAACATCTGCTGTGCTTGTAAATAACTGAAGATATAACACTGATGTACATTGCGACATCTCCAGGTATTTAGGCAAATTCATATTAATGAATGCGGCATTTGCTCCAGACATGCATGATTCCAAATCAGCCAATGTGATTTGTCTGGATTTGTTTTCTCATTTTGTCTCTCATAGTTGAGGTCTACCTATGATGCCAATTACAGGCCTCTCTCATCTTTTTAAGTGGGAGAACTTGCACAATTGGTGGCTGACTAAATACTTTTTTGCCCCACTGTATATATATATATATTACATACACACTTTAGACACAATGACTGTAAATGCTTGGGCAAAAATATAATGAAATACTTTGCTGGCCATTTGTTTCATTATTGAAAAAAGTTTGAGCGTTTAATACTACTTTAAGAACCATATAGTATGCAATTGGTATGCAAACCAGGGGTTAGGGGAGAAGCTGCAGGCTGCATTTTAAATCACCACCTGCCAGAGAAATGCACAGATGGAAATGATAGAGGTTTCCTAGATAAAAATGACCACTAGAGGGAGCTTTTAAAGATATGCATATGAAATGCAAATGAAAATGGAAAAAAATTGCAGACTTTCAGACATATGTTTGAAGTGTATGTCCAGTCAATTATGTGCTTGGTAAAACTGTTGTCAATGGGAAAGTAAGTGAATGTACCCTAACTATTACCAAAAATGTATCTTATTGTGTAGCTCCTCAAATCATCTCTGAATTGGTGCCGACACTGTCCTTCCTTCTGGAGGGTGGCTACTTATGTTCCCCATGGTCCTTGTGTGTGTTGTACAGTAATCACTGCTCCAAGCTCACTCCTGTTATGGACTAAAATCACAATACAACTTAGTAAACTAAACATGAGATTGTAGTCCATCACAGGGACCATGGGGAACAAAAGTAGCCACCCTCCAGAAAGAAGGACAGTACCAATTCAGAGATGATTTGAGGCTCTACAGCTGTACAGCTCAGTGATGCACAAAAACAAAATTTTAGTTAAAAAGGTACTTGAATGTATTTTTAAGATTTAACTCCCGAGTATAATGTCACTAACATTTTATGTCCATTGAAAAATATGTTCATACCAATACGTATTGTGTTTTTCCCTTTTAGTCCATTGCGCAGACTGGAGGGTCTTCTAATTTTTGGTCCTTCTTTTGAAGATGGAGAAGTAAACCATTTGTACTGTTAGAAAACAAGAATGCATAAAATGAAAATAAACCTAAAAAGGGACAAGAAAGCATTTCACAGCCCTAAATAAATTCTCAAACTGCTGGACTGTACGCAGTATTACATTATACAGAAAAATACTTATGATGGAGGTAACAATATGAGATACCAGCACAAGAGTTTGATAAATTCAGAATGCATTTATAAACTACAATAAAGTTCACACAGTGGAAATAGCAATCCAAAGCATAAAGCATACATAGCATCAAGTAGCATCTTAGTCAAAAGTGGCAAGTGCTGTATGCTTAAAGTGCCATGCAAAAAAGCAAGACTGCGTGAACCTTCTCACAACAAGAGACAAAAGCAGCCGCATATGGGTACAAAGTTAAAGGTGACAATCCTCAAACATAGAAGATGATCGCAAAAAAAAAAAAAAGACATACAGACCAAATACAAAAGAGAAAAGACAGACAACACAATAGGCAAGATTTCCCTTTCCTATAGATGTTTGACAGTAAACACCCTCAAATTTGCAATAGGCCTTTCCAAGGTCCGGCTCAAACTTTGGCGATCCGTGACAGCGCGGCAATCATGCATGAAACCGTGCGGATGGCCGCGCAGTCACGGAATGGTGCTTGCGGTGCCATTCATTTCTCATGGCATCCCGTTCGCAGCCGGCAAATCTCGCTGTTTTCTGCTGTGATTCCACGTGTGCAATCGCGCACAATCGTGGCAGAAAAAACCACGTGTCGCGAAAAAAGGTACTTGTACACCTCTTTTCAGCGTTTGCCGTGCGGCTATAACCACATTGGAATCAATGGGGCTGTGCGCAGTCGCGCGTTCCCAGGATGCGCGTTTTGGGATCGCTGCAGTGTAAACCAGGCCTACACCATAAATAAAACCCAGTCATGGAATTCTACCCTGGATGTGTGCACAGCCTGAAAATATAACAATGTCTTCTGTCTTGTTTCAATATTTGAATGACCACATTTTCCATCCTGGGTGCTTGGCTTTGAGATTAATTTTTTTGGGAGGGGGGTGACGATAATGAGGTTAATATTAAATACAGCATTCTCTTGTCCCCCAGTTCAAAGCAAATGCAGGCAGTCATTTAGTTAACTTTCTCTCCACATTCCAAAAACCAGAGGTCTGCCCGAATCTGGCCTGTAATCTTTATTGCCCCAGCACTCCTTAACAAGTGAGAGCCCCAAATCAACCCTTAAATCTTTTATGGCTGCCCCAATGAAAGGCATGCAACCAGGCACTCATCTATTAAAAGCTGACAAGTTGATAAATACAAGCAGGTCTGATAGAGTTCATGACCCAGCATTCACCCACAAGCCATAAACCTGAGTTACAATATCAGCTCCATTTCATAATTTGGAATTGGACAGTGATATTGTAAAATTATGTGCACAAATAGCCGTATCTGAACACAGATATCAAGAATGAATAGTTTAGAATGACCCATGGCTGGACAGGCGACATTTACCTTCCTTACCTTCCTTCCCATCATATATCGGGCACGTTTAGATTCAATCTAAAAGGTAACTTCATGACGCATAATAATTTAGGGGTTGCCGGACCATATTAAATATACTACTCTACTATCATCTTAAGTTATGAATTTAACCCTTTGGGAGGAGCAGAGGAGGAAATCGTAAAAGCTTGTCCCTCCTGCTCTTCCTCCCCAGCCCTGCCCCAGGGGCCGGCTACGTGACACCCCCTAGGGCTGACAAAAATATGCTGCCGAGGCAGCTAGAGAGGCTCTTGTATGAAACATCAAGAAAAGAAACTCCAGCAACATCAAGGAGTCTTAACATTGCAGAAGAGTTCCCCTTGTGCAGGGTGAGGCCGAGAGTGGTATCCTTGTGACGCCATGCTCGATTCAAAACTGCATATAGCTACGTGTGATTGAGGTACAGCGTGTTTGGGCCAGGCGAATGTCACAGGGGAAGGCATCTATGATCGAATACTAAAAATAAATATGCATTTCTATACTAAATTTTCATAAGTTGTATCCCTCTCCTAATAGCCATATTGATTTAGAAGTTTGTAAACTTACTTATTGAAGATGCCCATAGGATGTACTTCCTCAATGCACTGACACCATTTCACTCAGCCCTGTGACTATGCCTGTGACACAGAACCTGCCTTCTGAACTGCAATGTCTGGAACAATGTAACGTTATCATTGCTTGTTGGAAGCAAAGCATGATGGTATATGTAGTCTTGAGAACTCAAGATTACATTACATTGAGCAGCAGGGAAAGAGATGCAAAGTACACTGAGAATCCAGGAAGATGTTGAAAGTGATGGGCAGACGGAAGGCAGCACTCACTACATAAAAGGGATTTTTGTTAGTAAGCTTTGATCACATTATCAAAAACAAACTATAGTATGTATTCATATCACAATGCTGATGTTATAGCAGGATAGTATATGCTGAGACTTTACAACTCTTAAAGTGTCACTAAACTCATTATAAAAAATAATATATTCCATATGATTATTTGGCTCCAACCATGCCCCTTATAATGACACCTGCAGACCGTACAGAATATATCTGAATTCTTCCCTGCTGCAACTTCCTGTAAGAGGGTGGCTACATATGCGTGATCTCAGGGTATGTGGGAATGTAGCCACCCTCCTCGGTGTGCTCCTGTAAGGGTAAAATGGCATCCATGCATGCGCAAAGACTCTATCTCCGAAGGCTGACCATAGTGCGCATGCGTGCGCAACCGAAAGTGCACTGCAAGACGTGCAAAAGGCAGGCGGACAGGAAATTACATCTTACATCTTACCTGAAAGGTGGCTATATATGAACAAGCCTGAGATCACAACATTGCTGATGGCCTTGTCAGCTAGTGCTTCCTGTTGATTTGCCTGTGACCTGTTTTGACCTGGATTGTCTTGGACCATTCAACTGCCTGCTGCCTCCCTTGACCTTGGCCTGTTTCCTGGACTCCGCTATTGCCTTCTGACCTTGCTGCCCGGCTGGATGTGACCCATTTCTGGACCACGATTCCTGTCTCCTGAATCTGTTCCCACGCTGCACGCCCGGTTGTGACCTTTGGCCTGCTGACTTCACTACCAGACGTCTCCTGCACGGTGTCTGCTTCCATCCGTGGCACTCATGATCCTTGCTGTCCTGCAGCCTTCTGTTCCAATCCCAGGGGTTGCAGGACACAAGCCGCAAGAGAAGGCTCATAGTTACATAGTTAGTCAGGTTGAAAAAAGACACATGGCCTCCTCGTCTTCCGGTCTCTGCTTCAAGTACGTGATAGCTCCTGAGATGGCATACATGAATACCTGCTGACACAGCCAGCCCTGGCATACAAAAGCACACTCTTCTGTCCACTGGTTAAATTGCTGCCCACACAGCATCTCCCACAAGCATGAGACTGACAAGGGGACCATGACTGAGAGGTACCAGCCTAAATGAAGATAACATGCACAGTAGAATCAGCAGGCACATTGATCACTGGGAAAGGTAGTTTGAGGAGAGGGGTGCACGCGATTGCAATATAAGAGCACTGCTCTCATATAGAAAGCTTCAGTGAAGAAAATTGAGCCTCTGTCGGGAGAACGCAAAGTGAATGTTTAGGACACAAAAAAAAAAAATGTGGCGGTAACCATGACACTTTAAAGCCCATTACTGGAGCAAAAAAAAAAAAATATCCTTGCAGTGGGGCTACCCACACACTGCAACAGTTAACTGTTTGTTGTTTTCTAAAAGGTATGGTGTAGAGGACTTTTACTTACATGATCCCCGCTCCCCCACTGGTCAACGGAGCCCGGAGTGGAAGAGGCTGCCGGTGTTAGTCTTTGAGCCAGCGGAAGAAGTGATCAGGTAAGTAAAAATCCTTTACAAAGGTCCCCTACACAAGAACGAGCAGTTAAACCTTGCACAGCGGAGGGTAGTCCCACTGCAAAGAAATGTATTTATTGTCCTGTGTCAGAGCAATTCTAGGGAAGTACATTTGATTGATAGTTTGCTTCAAGGTTCAGCTTTGCCGATTTGCTTTATGACAGCTGAAAGTGCATTTTTAGATTTCTAATTTAGAATGTATATACATGCTGTAAATATTACATTTTTATGACCAATGGAATGACTCTGTTTAATGATAAATGAAAGTAACAAGGTAAAAAAATCAGGTAATAAAACTGATGTTCAAGTACAATGGTACTCATATGCTGGGTTAGTGCAGCAAAGTCAAGCTATTGCCGAAAAGGAAGCAGTAGTGTAAAGCTGATCATACACTGTTCAGATAGACTATAGAACAGATTCCACCATCCCCCGCTCTTTCTACTGTCAGAATACACAAAGTAGCTGCAAAGAACCATTTGTTTGAAGATTTTCTGACCGGATCCTTCGATCAGCTGATCAAGAGAAGCCGGTCGGAAGGGTGCCAACAGCGGCACCCATGCAGCAAATTTTGGCCAGTTCTTGTCTTCATAAAAAAACGCCCGAAATTTGCATAGTGAATGCCCAGCTTAACAAGAGAGGAACACACCAGGAGCATGTAGGCGCTCTCTAAGCGATACTTTCATTGGCGAGTTGCTGCCAACGATTGCTAGTGTGACATGGCCCTTCTCTTTCTAGTCAGGATCTTTAACCAGTTTAGGTTGAATAATATTATGATCAGTACATTTTAAATATTATTATTATTAT